CAGTTAATTAGACAGATATTGGATCTGCTTATTTTTATTTGCATATTACACAAATCAATAGCCCATTAAATTATTATATACATACATCAAGTGTCTAGGGATCAAGTACGTTTTAGAGTATCGACGCAATTGAGGATTATTATTTTTTGTATTAACTTTTTTGGATCTTTATTGATTCTTTTTAGTGAATTTCACTATTTAAATAAAGAATTTTCTTTAAACTTTGAATAAAAAAATATAAATTAAACTATCAATCAGGATTTCTATAAAAGTGTGTAATAGTGTTTTTACAAAACCATTACAACATCTACATCAGAACTGAAAAAATTGCATAGATATTGAGCCGTTGCTCAATATCTATGCAATTTTTTCAGTTCATTTGGCACCTCATTTGGCATAAGAAAACAACGATCAGTATATGCAAAATATTGTTTGACGGAATTTTATCATGGTCACCATGATATTGGCTATGAGACTCAACAGCTCTTCAGGCTTGCTGATAAGCTGCTAAACTAACCAAAATCCACTCCACTCCACTCGTAAGCACAGAAATTGGGAGGAAGAAGGCTGGCGTTGTGTTTTCTTTTTTGATGAATCTCGTTTCGGTATGAGGCCGGATACAAGACGTATTCGAGTTTGAAAGACGTATGGACGTCAAAAAAGTTTGAAATTTTGTTAGAAAGTTATGTAATTCATATGGAGGAGGAACAATAATGGTTTGGGCTGATATTTGTATTAGTGGAAAAACCCGTCTCATTTGGATCAGGGGCAACTTCAGTACTCCAATTTATGCGGAACGGATTGTTTCAGATATGATCATCCTTTTGCGAAGCGGATTTGGCAATGCGCTTCGATTAATGCACGACAATGAACATTCTCACACGGCTAGAGTCGTAACACGCACTCTTGCCAACGTACACATCAACGTTCTGCCGTAGCCTGCTCGATCGCCTGACCTTAATTCATTTGATTGTGCATTAGATATACGCATGATTTTAATCACACCAAATCGATAATGATAATGTGGTTCATGTCAATGGTTAAAATACAGATTATTAAGTTTTTAACTTTACGATAAAAATTTTGACAATTAATTGACGATATCACCTTAGGTTAATTTTCCACAATTTGCAAGAAAATGCAAATTTTTTTATTTGTACAAAGTATAGAGATAAGTTATTAACTTAAAAATAGGAATTACAGTAGGAAGTCACTCTGTAAGATTAAATTTGGTAAATATTAATGGAATAAATTTTTATATTTAAAAATATACTTGATCCCTAGACACTTTTGATGTATGCAAATAGGTATTTACCTACATTTGAAATGTGGTTAACATAATAATAAGAAGTTTAAAATATTCCAAAAGCGAGAAAATAAAAAGGGAATTGAAGTTAACATGAAAAAATAGTGATATACTCTTATCGAACATCGCATGAACCCATCTGGATGCTGAATATTCAAAATAACTAAAGAAACTAAAAAAGTGGTTGAAGGAATACTTATACGAACTATCTGAAGAGTATAAAGACAAATATATATTCCTGGAATAAAGAATGATTTAAATGGTATAAAACGATAACTACAACTTCACCGTTGCAATTAAATTTGCCGCAGCACATGCATAATGACGGTCATGTTGGAAACAAAAGCATAATTGCTTTAATATTTGAATTAATGTTCTTTGCTAAAGTTCATTGCTAACAAATGTTTCCTTTTATTTTTTTATATCATTTACAATGACCAGAGTTAATTATTATTACTTCAATTGAATCTCGTTTGGAGTTTTAGTATTTATTACGTACAGAATATAAATACATGTCTAGGTACTTTTGATGTATTCCTATAAAATAGAGATTTGTTGTTCCAAAAATTAAGAGTCGTGCAAAGTGTATATTGAACAGCAATAGACGATTATACACATATCTATTCTGAAGAGTGTTAAAATAATTTTTATATATACTTAAATATGAATATTATGATGAACATTGTTTACAAGTAATGATTTCATTGTCATTTAGTTGTTGAATGGAGATAATTTTCCAATAATATGTTTAATGACGAATGTCAAGGGTAAATTGAACTAATAAGTACTGATTGTTAAAATTTATTGATTTATTGTAATTGGATCGTAGTTACATCACAGATCCTATCATTATATATAATTATAATGAGGTTAAAAATACACGTGAAATATTTTAATTTGATTTTTACCGATGTACACTCAATATATGCTTTAATTAACTGTACGTTCAGATTCCTCTCATTTGCCATCATTTTCCCAGGAGAATATAGTATAAAGTACTCTATAAAAGCATAAAAGTTTTCTGTGAATATATGATTAATTTTTACACTAGGTAGTTCAATCATAGCACTTAATTATTGGAAAAAATATCCTGCTAGTTTTTGCGGCTTCGATTCAATTAGTTTTAATTTGTGACTGGTTTCTAAATAATATTCAGTTTTTACAAAAAAATTTCATAATTAGTTTATAAGTATTTATTTTTCTTAAGGCGAACGTAATACTTATTATGATGTGTCCCCGTATATTCAAGTAATGAATTCTCTTATTCTAATTATTATTATGAAAGCCTCAAAAGTTACGAGTTTGAATTTAATCAACACTAAAAATACTCAGTATCCCAGTTTACATCAGTTACCATTATCCAACAGGTGTGTCATCAGCCTATTTGCCTTCCTTCTTGGAAAACACTGTTAACAAACTAATTTTAAGCTTAAAATTGGTATGCTTGTCCCTTTATTTTGAACTCGGAGAAATATGGGCATATTGAAATGTGGGTTATGTTCACCGCAACGATAATAACGACTAAGCTTGGGTATTAATAGCAATACCTATATGTTGTAGTTATGATATCTATATATTGGTTTAATAACGGATATATTAAATATGCAATTATCGAATATATAATATAAAAACAAAGAGCTCGATCGAAATTAATAAATATATCCAATTAATATAGGCGATATTGAAATGAGCAATGATCTTTTTTCTGCCATCAACGTACAGATAAACCCAATATATAGATATTGTAACAGTAAGGAAAACTGCTCTATTTTGATAAATTTTCATTAAAACATTTATAAAATTAAAAATATGAAGCTTATGCTGACGGAAATGTTTGTATTTTAAAAAGTAAATAATATAATCTCAAAATATTAAATAAACAAAAGTACAGGTACAGAAACAAAATCTTAAAGATTATTTTTATTATTTTAATAGGATATGGTATTTAGATGACAGTTTTAAGACAAATAAATGGCAATATATAATTGAATATTAATATTATATTAGTTTTCTATACTTCTTACTATTTATAACTCACACAATAGCAATTTAAACTAAATTGAATACAAATATATTAATAACCATTTTTTATCTAAACATTCTAGGCTCAATATGTTTTTATGGTATATTAGACATATTTTTCTTAATGAAGCTCATAGCTTATATAAAAATAAAATAATTTTACTTCTTATTTATTAATATTAATTAAATTTAGATGATTTGCAAATACTTTTGTAGCCACAAATGGTTAAAATATTTAAACTCTAAAATAGGTACATTAGAACAGTACATAAACGAGGTTATTATCATCGTAAGGGGAATACAATAGCTTGTTATACACTTGTAAACTTACAATATTTAAATATTTCAGAAATGAAACGAAATTTTCTCTTATAATTAGTATTATTACGCATTTATATACTTTTTAAATATCTGTTCATGGATATAAATTTAGATTATTTATAGATAAATTTACAGATCCTCTATTTCCAGCCATTTCTAATTCTTAAGAGATCTTTGCATGGACTTGATTAGCAGTGTTGATGAAGTTAAGTATTTTATATAGTTGAAAATGCCTCTGGTATCTGTACTGTACTGTAGTTGACTGTGAAAGGCACTAGTTCTCGCTGCTACTGTCTACTGTACATTAAATGCAGTCAAAGTGCAGCACATTAAAGTAGATCAAGGTATAACATTCCCACCTTTACCTTTTTATTCTTATAAAAAAAGAAATAGATTAAGTTTAGCATAAAGTAACTCCCTAAAACAACAATTTATTAGGTGCTCCGTGTTTAATATATTTAATTACCAGAAAAGTAATAAATAATGAAGAACTTACTTTTTAAAACTAAAAATTATTCAGCTGTATAATCTTCAAACGTCAAGAAATATTCGCCTGTAACTTGCTTCATTATTATCATTTTTCTTTAAACGTCAACTGTCCATTGATAATCATCAGCAAAAAGAACGGGAACATTTAAAAAAAAATATTTACATATCAAAGTACAGCAGTCTCTATACAAGTAAGAAGTGGACGAAGTCGTGGAGTACAACAGGTTTTAATATAAACTTAATGTATATGAAGGTCGACAATATACATTAAGTGTATATTGTAATAAATAATTATCCTTATTCTAATGTTAAAAACCAGTTAATTTGGAGTATTAGGTATCTATATAACAAAACCATTTATTAAACAGTTTGCAAACCACGTACCTCAATAAATTACTACATAAAACTATTTACTACCATACGATTGGTTTAACGTACATATAGGTATTGCGAAAAGATGCGTAGGTACATATATAAATAGACAATTTTGAACGTCTTGCATATTGAGTAAAATTTACTACCCTTATCCTACTCTGACATTTTATGTGTTTGAGTAATTGCATTTCAATTTATCGAATGGGATATCTACATACCAATCAGATTATTCGTAACACAATATTCATGGAAGCTGCATTAAATTTATTATTCACGCTTAGGCTCTATGCAGACAGTGTATTTTGTACACGCATATGACGTCCATTATAGCGCTTCAAACGTAAATTCATTCACAGGTACAAAATTTTTGAATCGATACAAACGTAACGATCTGTTTTTTTGAGCGTCTACGATAACGAAACGCGCGCCTGTGAGAATAAATTACGCCATTTGCATACGGTTTTAGAAAACGTATATCTACACTTACCTTGCCATCGCTTTTGCGATAAGCGTCGTGCACTCTCCAAAGAAGTCCATGCCCAGCTGTACTGATCTCCTTTCCTACTTCGAAATATTGCATGATGGGGTTGCTTTCGAGTGGCGGCGGGTTGTTGTTCGTCACACCACTCTTAAGTTTCGATATTATGCCAGCCATTCCGTTGCCAAGCTTCCTTCCTAGTGGGATTGATTCGGGCTTCGGTTGTTCCGGCCCGCCAGCTGATTCACCTGTAGACATATTTTAAAATCTATATATGTACATAATACTTTATTTATTAATTTTATAATTACGTATATTAAATTGAAATGGACATGCTATATAAAAGGAAGAGTATCACGTTGTTAAAAATATGACCTATTTAAAAGTGTTTAAAGTTTAATAATTAATGGGAAGAGGAAAACCGAAAAAGATTGATGAATTGTGTGAAAAAAGGTGAGACAAGGAGAGAGATGACTGAATCAAAATCACAATGAAAGGCATAAACATGGTATGCCGACCCCAAATAACAGGAAAAGGCCGGAAGGATGACGAAGATATATATAATATCTTAATATAATAACTTTGGTATATTAAACATATTGATATTGTGTCTTTCTGATTCGCAATTTTCCGTAACGACGGTGTATATTATAAATATTTATGGAAATGTAAAAAGGTCAATTTATTAATTAAATAATTATTTATTAATATTGACTTTATAAATAAAATAATTATTAATTGATTGAATAACAACAATATACGTATAGATTTGATTAAACATATAACATAATAATTTCATTTTTATTGTGTACTAGTAATGTGTGTTAGTAATTGTAATGTTGCCATCTGTAACACTATTTCATACTGTATTTACTAACTTAATTAATATCGACGGATTGAATTTACCAAATCTTTTCAAAGCTTTGTATATTCATTCTAATAAAGAATCGCGAGTATAAATATAGATACATATTACCTATATGCATATATGATTGTTATAAACTTGCTAATGAGTAGAGTACTGTTACAAGCTATACAGTAAAAAATTACCACCAATTAAAATGAGTCCTTGACCTTGGAACTAATAAAGAAATTGGAAAGTATATAATGTTATGTGTCGTTAATTATTAAACTTGACCTAAGTATACATTACAAGAATCCTATTATTACGAAAAGTGAAACATGTTTAGATATTAATTATCTATCCAGTCATGCTTAAATTACTGTCTGGATTTGAACGAAATATGGTACATAAATGGATCACGTCATAGATTAACATCAGTTTATTTGTTAACTTATAGCGCCTTAACGGCTTAACCTATTACTATGAAATTTGGTTTACACGTACTAAATAGGAAGGAGAAGGTTATTGATTACTTTTTAACCCGGTCAGTGAATATATCCCGGTCTTATGGACGATGTTGTGGGCAAAAACTAGTAGGATATTTAATTAAATCGCCGGGTACGTGAGGGATTCATAACATGAAAGTTATTATAGGAAAAATGCACTGGTTATTTTTTCATAAGATTTCTAACATTTTTATTAATATATTATAATATCTTTACTAATAATAAATAAAAAAGCTAAAGTATTTTTTTTATATATTTTTAACTATTTTATTATTATTTTAGCCGTTAACTGTCTACTGCTGGACATAAGCCTTTCCCATAAAGGGAGTTTTGCTAGAAGTTGCCAACCGGGTTGGCAACCGCAGTTAGGCTTATAGAGATATTTTAAGAAGGACGCTGCTGCTCATCTCTTGCCCTCCTTTAGTCGTCTCTTACGACACCTGCGGGAAAGGAAGTAGAGGCCCATTCTATGCCGGGGTATACACGGCTATTTTTTATCTATTAACTTAACACAACCGTCGTGAAGTTGGGTATATAATTATAAGTTATAGTACAGCTAAACATAAGTATACAATAATATATAAATATCGATAAAAAATGTAATAATGCATCCAAATCACACTACACAACAGCAGGTACGGTACAAGAACCAAAAGCGAATACAATATAAAATTGCATTTCATTTTCTGGGAAGTTCAATAGTCCATAATATTTACAATTGGAACTTGCAATCGTAAATAGGTAGGTGTGAAATATAAATAGGAAAATACTCAAATAAAAAGTAACAATCCTTTCATTCTTATTTGATCCCCGTAATATTAAATGTGAAAGTGAGTTTTATTTTCTTTATTACAATCTGGCGTTTTAACTGTCGAATTTGCCATAAACGTAAGTAGTATCTGGAAGTAAAAAGCTATAGAGAAAATAATAGTTAATATTTTCAATGAAAATCAGTAAATTCAATTTTTTTTATGCAACTTAGAATGGCAAACAAGCTGACGGCTCACCAAATGGAAAACGGAAAATTAACTGATGCTATAGACATAAGCAGTACCATGGACATAACAGAGTATACTGTTTCGCCCATGCGTTGCCATTCCTGAGACAGGTATTATGCCTGTAAATTCATTGCCATATCCCACCCTTCAAACCGAAACACAGCCATACAAACACAATTGTAATAAGCAAATATTTTATTAATGTATAAAATAGAAATTTTACATATGTAATTATTATAACGAGAAAGTAATAAGAAAAGGAGCATATCATATATCACGTGTAGGTAGTTCTAAAGCCTGTTAGTTGGCAATCAATTTAAGAAAACCAATAAAGCACGAGTGAAGCTGTAATATCATCAACACGAACTCCTATTACACAACTTAGGTGTTGGCTTTCATTACATTAAACCTAACTGGCTGCTACTACAAGGTTGTAAAGAAAACGTATTTATTTGATTTTATTGAAAATAAGTAGAATATAAAATATATATATACAAATCAAAAATAAATAATACAAAGGAGCTCAAAATATGCTTATAAATATTACCATCTGATGTAAAATTGTAATTGTAGTATAAATATATATATATAGCACATAGAACAGAGAATTGCTATTCCCGAGGACAATGGTGTCATGCCTCCGTACCCTGTAATTTCATTACCATATCCTATCCTTGAAACCGAAACACAGCCATGCAAGCGCAGCTGCTTCGCGGCAGAAACACGACGTTATTGGCTGTTTTATCTACGCTTACCACTTATATCTCGTTGGCGAATATATACACTCTATATCTTATAAGGAACTCAACTACCACATTAATTGGATATTAATGTGGTAGTTGAGAGAGTTGAGTGGTAGTTGATATTAACTGGATATAAAAATAATACTAAATAGTAATACGAGGTTTGTCCGGAAAGTACGTATAAAAGTTTTTTAAAAATTTTATTTTACAATTATTCAGGTAAATCAATTTTATCCCCTTCAAAGTACTCCCCCTGTGACATAATGCACTTGTGCCAACGCCGTTTCCACTGTGAGAAGGCTCCTTGAAAGTCCTCTGGTTGTAGGTTTCTCAGCTGCCCCGTCGTAGCTTTTTTTATCTCATTTATGTCCCCCAAATGCCGCCCCCGAAGTACCAATTTGGTTTTTGGGAACAAGAAGAAGTCACACGGGGCCAAATCCGGCGAATAGGGGGGTGTTCGGTCACCGTAATGGAATTTTTACTCAAAAACTCACGGACAACAAGAGAGGTGTGGGCAGGGGCATTGTCGTGGTGAAGAATCCAACGCCCCTCTCGCGCCAATTCTGGACGAACTCGTGCCACACGACTGTCTGACCGTTAAACGACGGTCCCCATTAACACAAGTTCGAATTCTTTCCACGTTTTCGTCGGAATGTGAAGTGGAAGGACGTCCTGAACGTGGGTCATCTTGAACGCTTTCTCGGCCCTCTCTGAATCTTTTTAGCCACTTGTGGACGGTTGGTTCCTTCACAGCATCATCCCCATAAACTGTTCTGAGATCGGCAAAAATTTCACGGCCATTCTTGCCGAGTTTCGAGAGAAACTTGATTACGACGCGCTGCTCTTCAACGGAAGCGGGCTCCATGCCGACGGGGTTTCGTTAAGAGGTAACTTCACAGATGGCGTGACAAGCCAGTTCGCACCGCACGGCGGTCAGACCAGAACTGAAGCATTGTTAGGGACATAAGGAAGGGGTCCTGTGCTTACCTGGCCTCCCCACTCCTCTTTCTCGCATTCCAGAACACTTTTATACGAACTTTCCGGACAGACCTCGTATAAGTCTATTCTGAAGCCGTAGTGAAATTAGACTTTAAACTAGACTGAAAGTCATACAAAATAAGCTAACATAGGCATGTAAATAAAACTATTCGTAGACTACCATATCGGTGGGTAGACTAGCTTTTCGTATAATTTAATTTACCAGTAAGTAAACTAAAACTGCTTATAGTTTAATAAATATCTAAAGTAAATAATTTTGTTAACAGATATCTCACAATATACGAGTATGTACAGTGTTCTATAAAATAATCCGTAAACTCAACAAATAAAAAACATTGTTATCTATCACGATCAAATTGATGATAGGTCTTATCACACGTGAAATTTTCTCAATTCTGGAAGAAGAATAATCAAAATTTACTGACAAATATATTTCATAAACATTTGTGTGTTATATGTACAAAAATACAAGCAAATTGAAAAGCTCTTCCTTTTTGATATATCTTAAAAAGGGCAAGAACGCTGTATGAAATACAGTACGTACAAAACCATGATAATATTCCGTTGAGACACTTATTTTCCTTTTGTTTTAGATATTTATGGAAACATGTAATTCCGGTAAGATAACATTTGCTTTTTGTTTTATGGAATGACACATCTCGCTCTAGTAAATAATACTTTTATGGTATCTACATTGACTCTTTCGGTATAATGATATCTGATATCATAAAATTTAATTTTATATGAATATTATACAATACAAGTAGTATATATAATGGTAATTCTGTATCGACTACTCAGACATTTATTCATAAAAGTGTGGAATAATGTTACAGTAATAACAATTACTACATACTCGTATAAGTAATGATAGAAATGAAAGAAAACTTGCAACATTTGATCCTCTATTAAAGTTCAACCAGAAAAGAAAAAAATATATTATATTTTTTAAATGAATATTATGTGCACAATTGTACTTCAAAACAAAGCACTATAAGATCTCTTTTATTCTGCGAATTTAAATTCCACATCTGGTTATTTAATTTGTATTATCTTCCTGCCACACAAGACATTCCTGAATTTAAAAATATATAAAACATGAAATATATATTGGTTATGTTCCCTTAAATAACTGACTTTTATGATATTAGT